GTGCCTTTTCTACCTTAGGCTTCAGCGCAGTGCACTTTTCCAGCTCATCCAACAGATGATCAAACAAGGTTGTTTCCCTGGGTTGTTCTGCCACGGGAATTGCGGTCAGCACGTAAACGTACTTCTCCCGAAAGGCATCCAGGTCAGCAAGGGACGGGCCTGCAAGAGACAACTTTAACAAGTTGCGACCTCCTAAGGTTCCGAGCCTACCTCGTTCTAACTGAAAGTGCTTGAAGATAGCACGCAACATGATTCTCCCTACGGGCATCCCACCTGACGAGATTCTCTCTTGTTCAACCATATTCTGAAACAAGAGCCCGAACTTACCTTTACGGCAGGTTTTAAGGAGCTTTGCGGCTATTTCACGATCTAACCGTGGGAAACGCTTGTCCGCGATGAGTTCTTGCTCGGTGGAGGACATGCATGCTTGGGCCCACTGGTAAACTTCATCTCCGGGGGTCTTCTGGAGTCGACCGATGGCCATCAAAACTTGGTTGATGAAACCTCTAGCCTGTCCAGCGTTCTCCGGAGGGGATGGCAACACGAGATCCTTGAGGTCCTTGACGCGAACAACGGATTCCTCATGCGTGGCGTGATCGGTGACGGTCATGCCTACACTAGGGTCGGCAGCTTGAGACGGGTCTGCATTGGGGAACTGGCCAGGGCCTCCCCCACCTCCCCCACCACCATTCATGGTGAGGTATGGGCAATCCGTGTCTTCATGGCTGCCGCCGCAAACTCGACATTGTGGGGCATCATCATCTCCATCAGAGTCTGATGATGTGTCGGAGCTTGCTGCCGATGGCGCTTGTGGGGATGACGAGTATAACCCTCCCAACATTGTGATTGGTACTGGCGGAACATGAGTGCCGTTGCCAGCTTTTGGCGGAGGCGGCGCCCCTGCAAAGGGCATGGGAGGCACTGGAGGTGGTGCGGCCGGAGGCGGAGGTGGCGGAGCCACTTGATTAGCAACCAATTGGGAAAGCTGCTGAACCATTTCCGCTAACGCCGTCACTTGCACTCTCACATCGGCTTGATCCCTTGTACCGTCTCTACCCAACCCGCTAGTCCTCGACGCGCCGGGGGCTGCGTCTCCAACAGAGGACGCTGCTCCTAGCACTGCCGAATGGCCTACGAGATGTTGACTTGTTGCACCCCCACCAGGGTCCCTTGAATCAGCTGGGGCATCGTGACCAAGTCCTGAACTTTGAACAGAACCACACGGAGGGTCGGGGATAGTACTTGTAAAAGCATTCCCTTGCGACGATGCGGCAACACCGGAGGCATCTTGTGAACTTGAAACCTGAGGTGCTCCAACCGGCTGATGGGTTCCTGGGGGAACTGTGCCTTGACTTGAGGCTTTAGCCGCGCTTGTTTCCGTAGCTGTTTCGGCTATTGATGCGGCTTTTGGCGGGGACTCTTGCATCGGAACAGGGGTCGCACGAGCTTGTTGGGTGAGCTGTGCAACAACACGTTCGAGATCACCAAGTCGTTGATGCATCACAGAATTTTCCTGGGACAATCCACGAATGGTATGCTCTTGACTGGCAATGGTTTGTTCTCTTTGTGAGATTGCCTGTTGAGCCTCTTGAACAATGCGTTGAACCTCATGCTGAGCGTCCTGTTGAGTGGCATTAACAACCTGTCGTGCGTTCTCGACATGGCCAATGGCTTCCTGTCGTGTCTGCTCGATTAGTTGCCTAGCCTGAGCCTCACTTTGTTGTGCTGTTTGTACAGCCTGCTGTGCTTGCGAAGCTAGCTGAGCGGCCTGAACCCTAACGTCTGAAACTTCTCTTACAGCCCTTTCCCTGATCCATCCGGCCTCTTGTCTCGCCTGATCGGCGGCCTGCTGTTGGTGCAAGGCGTGATTGGCTGCCTGAGCAGCGAGGTCGGATGCTCGATGAGCTTGCTGCACCGCAGCTCCAGCTATAAATGCCGCAGCGGGTACGTTAGTCATCGGGTCAGGTAACTGCGATCCCTGTGAAGGAAACTGAATGGCTGGGGAAGCTTCGGATGATGTCGGTTCTGACACGATCGGACCACTCGGGGGTGATGATGGTCGTGTTTGGGCTGCTCGTTGAGGTGTGGATGTGCGAACTGTGGACATAACTGCAGGAACCATGGCTAGGTCAGGGTCATCCGGTTCAGAATCCCTATTTGGGGTTGACCTTGAACGGGGTTCTGATGGCGGTGACAAACCCGTTGAAGCCATGACACAGCAATGCAACTTTTGCACTCACACGAAGCTAGCTCCACGCGCTTTGAGCAGCGTGTCAAAAGGTGCTACGAGGAGATATCCCTGGATTGGCAGCTGGTTGCGACACGCTCAAGTGAGCCACTCAAGAAAATACGTTGCGAAACGCTCAAGTGAGCCACTCAAGAAAATACGCCCTGCTGCTTTGCACCTGATAAATTCTGTATTTGTAATTGTACTTGTAGATTGATTGATCCGCACTGCCGCACTATGGTGCTTTATCGAGAGATGTTGCCAAGCTGTATTGAGAATTTGTCTGCAAATCGAAGGCTTGTAATTGCAAAAGCTGTACCGCGCAAAGCGACGGTTTTAACGGCTTGCAGCAATGGCTATCGAAGTACCCGGCTGGCGGGCAGCTGAGATGCAGATCGGTGGAGCTCCTCGAGGTACTGCGATGGATGCAGGCCCCTCGCCGCCGGAATAAATTGTCTGTTCCGGGATTCAATGAACTCACCGAGGTTCTCAAGTGCGTTAGCAAAACCTCCCGGCCCGAAGTGCGGAAAGTTCCGGAACGCCGCGATGCCTGTCTTTTGAGCTTCACGGACAATCGATGCTGTATCGTCAATAAGGGCGTGTACGCCCAGCCCTTGCAGGGCGTCTGCTTTGCCTCCCCTTCCCAACCGTTCGTGAACGATTTTTATCGCAGAAAAAGTGAGTCCAGATGTTGTCCGCGCGTGCTCCAGGGCGACCTGAAATTCGCGGCGGCGATACTCGCTTGCAGCCCTGCCCACGAAGGATAGCACTATAAAATTTATAGGTGCGTAGTCCGCTGCAAACTGAACGAGATGTCGGATCACTTCCGGGTTGAGGTGGGGTCCCTGCTGCCCAACGTCAAGAACTCCGTGCCAGTCAAGAGCAACAACAAGCTCCTTGGGCGGCACCGGCCTTCCAGGCGGAGGTGGTGGCGGCGGGGGCGCAGGCGGTGCCCTCCTTGGTGGCGAGCGGAATCGCGAGCCAGCTTCGGGAGTTGCAGCGCTAGCAGCAGCTGCTTGAGCGACCTGCGGAGGTGGCGGCTTGACGATGTACCCGAATTGTGGCGGGTTTGAGCTCGATTTGCTTCTGGGTTCGGCCTTGTTCAAGCCTCGCGGAGGTGCCTTGTACCCGAATGCACTCTGAGTCCGAACCGGAGATCTGGCCCTTGGCGGTGACTTCCTCGGGATGTCTGCCTTTGCCGGCGCTGGAGAAACTGCCTTGGGGATCTCCTTGGGCAACGGAGGCTTGCTGCCGAAGATGACCTTGGGAGCGGCCTTTGGGGGCGGCGGTTGAACTGCCCCGATTCTTCGGCTGTGAAGCGCGATGGGCTCGGAGTGAGTCGGCGCCTCGTAAACGCGCCGAGGCACGTATGCTGACCTGCCCGTCCTGATGGACTCCGCGTCTTGCGGTGGGTCCTCGTCCGAGCTGTAGGCGTCGAGGCGGAAGTGCTCCGCAGGCGCCGGGCGGCGGTCAGGAGACCGTGAGCGTGAGCTCGTGGAGGACCTCCTTGGCGGGTCCCTCCACGTCTCGTCAGCGAGGAGGTAAGGATCTGGCGAAGCTGCCCAGACGTCCGTTGCGCTCGCCGATGAGGAGCCGCTTCACGTGGTTGTGATGCCTCCCGCACCAATACCCAGGTGCCGTGTTCGTCAAACCTAGTCACAGGGTAGATGCTATTCTGTGGAGCCAAAACGATGGGCCGTGTGGCTAGGGAAGTCCTGGATGGCCTTCCCTCCCGCGCAAGCGCGGGTTCAACACTATGAGCCCTTTGTTCCACAGGGGCAGCAGCAGTTGGTCCTCGTCTCGGTGATGTTGATGGAGACCTCGACCTTCGTGGCGATGGGGACCTCGATCTTTGTGTTGACCGTTCCCTGCTGCTCTCCCGCCGCGTTTCCGCAGCTTTAGCGTATACCCCGCGAAGAGTTGACTTTGCGGCTTGTCTTTCCTCTGCAGATGGCCGAATGCGAGGCAAAGGAGTGCGCGAATCTTGCAACCAGGAGGAAGCTGATGGAGGCGTCGGAGGACGAAGCCAGTCCGCTGCACTGCTCGATGCTCCCGCCGCGCCTGAGGCTGCGGCTTGATCCTGAGATGGCGCACCCTGCGGCAAGACCACTCCTGTGGTTTCAACCAATGCGAGACGCTGCTGATAAGCGTTGTCCGCGGCCTGGATCACGTCGAAGGCTTCTTGGTCAAAATTCCACAGGTGCCAACTATCCAGTGACTCACGCCAGGAGAAGAGCGCCTCGACCTGTTGCTTCGAGGCGTCCGCAAATCTGACCCACCGGAATCGTCTGTTCTGCCGCTTGTACTCGTCGACGACGATCTGCTGCAGAGTGTTGTACAATCGGGCACGCGGCCCTTTCCCACCGCGTGTGCCGCGGTGAGGGCCGACTTCCATGTGCGACCAACAGGTCGCAGTCACGGAAGGGTTTGTTTACCCGAAAAGCGTTACGGCTAATAACCACTCAAAGGAGAGGGAAACACAGTTTTGTCAACAACGGGGGAACCCGGGACCTTAAAAGGAACGAACCCCTCCGTGACTGCGGCCTCTCCCTTAACCTTGGGGCTAGCGCGGTGCAACGCGCTGTTTTCAGCACTTGAGCCAAAGCAGTGATTGAATCATGCTCTGGCAATGACTTGAATGTACAACATGCAACTGACTACATGGGGACCTACCTCATGTACCTCTGGGCCATAAATGTCATCGTGATAATTGACTGTTCAAACCCAAATCTAGTCATAGCGGGCTCCGAGCCAAACATCTGAGCTGAGCGGCAGGTAGTGGCAGGCGATCTTCTTGGGCCGCATCTCCATGCCGTAGTCCGTCTCCACCCCGGTCCTCAGCCCAGGGGATTGCCAGGCTTGAAACAGAGACGGCATCCCTTTTTTAGTGGTTGGCTTTTGAAGTGCAGGTTGGTGGGTTGGTTTTTTTGGTGGTTGGTTTGCTTTTCTTCGTGGCATCCTTACCAACCCTTGTCTCTTACCAGTGCATCCCCTTTTTCTCGGAGAGGGTTTTTGTAGAGGGGGGGGCCCTGGAAAGCGAGCAACGGTTTTGCCCACCAAGGCCGGTGCAAAAATTTTCCCCGGAAAAAAGGAGAAATCCGAACCGTCAACCAGGGATTGCTTGATATGGGCCTGTGTTCACTGGCCCAATTTGAACCCAGAATTTTTGTTCTTCCGAGGTGGAAATTGCTCCGAATGGCACACCGCAGGTCCCCCTTGACTTCCCTCCACAGTATGTATCAAAAAACGGATTTGGACCAGAATCCAGAATGGGCTCCGGTTTTCCGAACTGGCTT